GGCTTAAATTCGCTCTGAAATCCGTGAGGAAATAACAAAATTCGGCCAAAATATATCCGCATGCCGGGTTTGCTGGACAAAAAGCGGAAGTCGTTGAACAACTCAAAATACACTCAACCCTGATTGGACAACGAAAATCAACAAACATTTCAAATTTCTGTAGTCAGTAATGTAATATAAATTTGAATCAAAACAATTAACAAATGTTGTCGGGGGAAAACCAGTGCAAATCTAATTATTTAAATTTAAGAAGTTTAGTCAGTAAATACGGATAGTAATTTACCCTATTCGACAAGATGTTTCAGCGTAAAATTATAGTTATATTTACAGTTATATTTACAGTAACAAATATAATCGACTTGTAGCAGACTTTATAACGCTTGTGAATTTTTTTTATTCAAATAATGAAATTATTACAGTACTTCCAAGACCAAATACTGTCCCCCCTCCCAGTGGAGAAAAATTTGAAATGTTTGTTGATTTTCGTTGTCCAATCAGGGTTGAGTGTATTTTGAGTTGTTCAACGACTTCCGTTTTTTGTCCAGCAAACCCGGCACGCGGATATATTTTGGCCGAATTTTGTTATTCCCTCACGGATTTCAGAGTGAATTTAAGCTCTTTGATTAAAGCATCGTTGTTTTGAGAGTTATACGGTATCATTCTTGCAGGGGATATCGATTAATTGTGAAAGAAATACATTAAAGGCGAAAAATCGAGGATAGTTTCGTCTGACATATGCCAAGTCTGGGCTATTTTGGTCTCAACGTTTCCTTCCTTCCCTCGTTATAAGGAAGGCACGGGCAGGCGCGGGCAAATCGAGCCTGGGCCCCTGTGTCTGGACCGGTGTCCCGGATGTCGTTTATCTGGCGGGAAATTTTTGCTTTGCAAACAGAAAAAATTTTGCTTTTTAATTTTCCAATTGTGTGTCATTAAAATTTACAGATAAAAATTTCAAACAACCAAATTGTTTTTTATTGAGCATGCATGCCTACCGTATATTGTTACCCAGTGAAACTGACGATAGCCGATTTAATTTGCGCGAAAAGCATATGCTTACAGTCACAGACTCAGTTCAGCCATATAATAAACCGATTATTGACCTCGCTTGTTCGGTCTGTACTGTGAAATATCAGACCTCTGTTTTTTGCATGGACCTCGCTCCTTCGTCGCTCGGTCCATACTAAAAAACCTCAGTTTGATATTTCACAGTACAGACCTCACGCTCGGTCAATAAACCGTTAGTATACTGCTTAGAACAAATAGTTTCAAATTCTGATTCCGATCTAGTAGCTGTTTTATGTAAAGATATTGTAGCTAAGTGCATAGTTGTGGAGACTAACGAACATTTTGTGGATGCATATATCACTACTGTTAATGATATTAATTGTACATGGCAAGAAATGTACGTAACTTGCATAATTATTGAAAAAAGCGTATTTGGAACGGTTACAATAAAACATAGAGAATATTTTTCTTTATTTTAGGTATAAATATTGTTAACAACACATTTTAATAGCACAGCAAGATCTTGTGGAAATCTTGACAAGGTCATGCAAACCAATATTTTGAAGGGTCATGGCAAGATCCTGGCAAGATTGTAACAAGATCATAATAAAATCATGGCAAGATCTTGTGAAAATCTTGACATAATCATGGCAAGATTTTGAAAGATCATGGCAAGATCTTGACAACATTATAGTAAAATCATGGCAAGATCTTGTGGAAATCCTGACAAGATCATGGCAAGATCTTGAACGATCATGGCAAGATATTGAACGATCGTGGCAAGATCTTGATAACATTGTAGTAAAATCATGGCAATATTATGTGGAAATCTTGACAGGATCAAGGCAAGATCTTGAACGATCATGGCAAGATATTGAACTATCTCGGCAAGATCTTGACAACATTATAGTAATATCATGGCAAGATCTTGTGGAAATCCTGACAAGATCATGGCAAGATCTTGAACGATCATGGCAAGATATTGAACGATCGTGGCAAGATCTTGATAACATTGTAGTAAAATCATGGCAATATTATGTGGAAATCTTGACAGGATCAAGGCAAGATCTTGAACGATCATGGCAAGATATTGAACTATCACGGCAAGATCTTGACAACATTATAGTAATATCATGGCAAGATCTTGTGGAAATCCTGACAAGATCATGGCAAGATCTTGAACGATCATGGCAAGATATTGAACGATCGTGGCAAGATCTTGATAACATTGTAGTAAAATCATGGCAATATTATGTGGAAATCTTGACAGGATCAAGGCAAGATCTTGAACGATCATGGCAAGATATTGAACTATCACGGCAAGATCTTGACAACATAGTAAAATCATGGCAAGATCTTGTGGACATATTGAAATGATCATGGCAAGATCTAGAAACATCATGGCAAGATCTTGACAAAAGTGTACTTTAAATTTGTTTTTAAAATGTATCAAGATCTTGGCAAGAAAATAAGAAATTCTTGCCAAGATCATAGCAAGATCTTGCCAAGATAATTTCTTGACAAGATCTTAGCATGATTTCACAAGATCTTACAAAATCGTGTAAGATCTTACAAGATCCTGGCAAGATGTTCAACCTGGGCTTTGCAGAGTATGTAGCTACCCCACCTCCCTACAGGTGCTTCATCCAGTGCCCCTGATAATCAGCAGGGTAAAGGGTTGACTAACTCACTGGTGTTTGTTGAGGCTGATGTCAATAAAGATGTCAATAAATTTGGCATCCGGTTTTATAAACTCTTTAAAACCTACTATTAAACCTAATCAAACGCCCTAATCCTTAACCAACATACAATTCAACATACATGTAGATTACAGATGCGGTATTATCTTATTAAATATAGAAGTGCTCGGAATTTTAAGTCGAATGTACGAGTAGAAATAATAAGAAATGGACAACTGCCTAGCAATCTGGTTGACATGTTAGTATCAATACTTATTTTTTTATATATTGTTTATTTCATTATTTACTAGTTGCATAAAATAGATGTCATCAAGCGAATTTAGAATTGTGTCTTACTCTGCAATGTTAGATTTACCTATTATCATTTTTATCAAAAATAAATTGATGGGTTTATTAATAGTTAGTAACATCCCTAATCATTGTTGAAACCATTATAATTTATATCATTACAATTCTTATGCCATTTCACTATGACACTATATGACAACACCATAATCATCTATCCAATTTTCCTGGAAATCTAGTATTAAGCCTGCCAAGCTTAATGCCAATCTCGCTTCCCACCATCAAATGACTCACATCACTCTTCCATACAGCTTCAAATGATTTACTTAGTCTTGCATCCCACTTGAAATTTGGTGCTTTCTACGACCACTCCTCAATATTTGCGCTCGCGCGCCATAACGAGGAAGACCCTGGGGACGAGGTTGTATTTGTTCCATTTTAAAGCCAAAATTTCATCATGCATTATGGCAGCATGATGGTAGCAAACCATACTAGCAAACTTGTGTTTGAATATACATTAAGATGTCATTTTATTCCCAAAAAACGCAACAATGTCAATGTATTTAAATGAGCAAAAAATAGATGCACATTGCGTACAGTACATTATATGTAGGAAGCAAAAGCAAATTGTGATATTGCAAGTTGGTAGTGAATAAACTGTGTTGGTAGTTAATAAACTGTGTTTGGAGTGTACTGATACCAAAACAGGAGACTTACGTGTATACCTCGTTACAGAGGTAGGTAATCATTATCTTCGAGTTAAGCCCCTAGAGTTGAGCCCTGGCCACGCCCAAACCACACCCATTTTCGTCAAGGGCTTAACTCGAAGAAAGAAAAGCAATTTGGAAAGAAAGAGGGGCTAAAGTTCTTAATTCGAAGTCATTGAAAATATTCGACGCTCGAGTTAAGCCCTGACATTTGAGGCATGTAAAAGAGCAATGATTTGAGTCGTCCATAATCTAGCTAGAAATAGTTATCATACGTCTCGGCTTAAAATTACCTTAAATAAGCTGCAGCCTAAATGATTCACGAACAAGTTGTATAAATAGGCAAGTTTCATTAAGTAACAGATTATTTTTGACTAGCTTTTGTACCTCTGAGCTCATTACGAATAAATTGACCTCGCGGCTTTATTTCGCATAAAAGGTCAATTTATTCGTAATAAGCTCAGACATTTAAAGTGCATATGACATGAAATTTCTTATTTTCTTAAACGAAAGAACGCTTTAAGCTGTAGTGTAACTTATTTTTCAGTTTCTTGTTTTTATGGTTTGTTCCCGAGATATTTAAATTAGTTTGATATGTAAATGATTTTGAATATGTCCGCTAATTTATGACGTCATGTTGGTTGCAAGCTCAACTTACACTGGTTATAAATCTATTAACTCTAAAAACTGTTGATATCAGTTCACGTTTTTCTACAGTGTTTCATCACATTTACCTGTGAGTGAAGTTTGAAATTATCGTCTTGGATAATAGCAATGGTATTCAACCATTTTGAAGAGCTTGCAACCAACATGACGTCATAAATTAGCGGACATATTCACACTCATTTACATATCAAACAAATTGAAATATCTCTGGAACAAACCATAAAAACAAGAAACTAAGAAATAAGTTACACTACAGCTTAAAGAGTTCTTTCATTTAAGTAAATAAGAAATTTAATGTCATATGCACTTTAAAAGCTAGTCCAAAATAATCTGTTACTTAATGAAAATTGACTGTTTATACTAGTTGTTCGTGACTCATTTAGACTGCAATTGACTGCAGCTTATTTCAGCCGAGACGTATGATAACCATTTCCAGGTTGAGATTGTGGACAACTTAAATCATTGCTCTATTACATGATGCCTCAATTGTCGGGGCTTAACTCGAGTGTCGAATTTTTTAATGACTTCGAGTTAAGCCCCTCTTTTTTCACGGGACTTAACTCGAACTTTCCAAGTTGTGTTTCTTTCTTCAAGTTATGCCCTTGACGAAAATGGGTGTGGTTTGGGTGTGGTCGGGGCTTTATTCGAAGTTTACCTACCTCAATGTTACAAGATAAAAATGAGTGAAAGCAGCGCTTGTGCAGTTTTTAGTGCAAAGTTGCTTTACACTATTGTTATGGGCTACAATTTAGATATTACGTCATTGCGTCAGTCAACAATAGATAAACAATCCGGGGCCTGGGAGCGTTTGCAAATTATGTTCTGTAGCTTTGCAACATTTGGCCATGCAGCATATAAATGTTTAAAAATTAATATCAAATTCAATTTCATATTTTTAGTCACAATTACGACAGATGTTCTGACTTACATTATCTAATATTTAGACAAACAATCAAAATAAATATCAGTTTGAGGATATGCATGCCCAATATGTTACCATTCATGCAACAAAATCAAGTGAAACAACATACATGCTCTGCACTGCTTCGATTTTAATATGGCAGTTTCAGATCGAGGAGACGCAGTACGATGTCGTGTAGACGGTCGCAAAGTATTCTGGCATTGTTTTTGTAGCAAAGAAACAGAGCCGTAGATTATATAAATAAAGCCATGATAGTTTTGATACAAATTAGCATACGAACATAGTAACAACTCGCATTCTATATTGCCACAGGCAAAAAGAGGCGATGGTTTTATAATGCCTATATCAAATGTCGATGCCAGCTGATGAGTTATATCACAGGCTCCGAACGTGTTTTTTTTTAAGTTTTAAAAATCTTACGGGCAAATGTTACTGTAGCTTTAACTGGTTATATAAAAACCTAATTGAATTATTACATTAGAATAAGACCTAATTAGCCTTTCTCACGAAGCCCAAAATCCGCCATTTTTGGGGCATTGCCTGTCCTCGTGAAAGATTCTAGACAGTTCAAACAACGTGAAAAGCAACTTTTAAAAGTTGGAACTGTAAATTTACCATTAATTATATATACAACTATAATACTAGAAAGTCGCATTTCGTGGTGCGGAGACTCTCTAACCTGGGAGAGGGAGTACCCCAAAAATGGCGGGAAAATCGGTCGTGAGAAAGGCTAATTAATAGTTATTTTGTCTGGAATATTTAAGCCCTTCAACCCAAGCATACCATGCATAGGCATAGGGGTTAATTAGTCATACTCTTTCTACTAGCATATTTTACTGGCTGTAACTGGCATATTTACTGATATTTAACTTGGCATAAACTGAGGCTTTTTCATTTAACTGAGACTTTTTCTTCCGATAATATTTAAAAATCAAACAGACAATTAAGGACTATGCAGGTGGGGAGAAATCATATTCTACTTAGAACTTGGATTTGGATTAGAAAGTTTAATTCGATTATATTAAAGGGGAAGTCAAGTCCGTTCTGCGCATCGGTTCTGCGCATAACAATAGAGGGCCCTCTGAGGTAAACATTGCCCAAATTTTGAATGTTTCGAATTTTTCTGAACACAAACTCTATTTCATATTCATGTAGAAGCATAACGAACCAAAATGGTGTTAGATATTCAGACAGTACATCATATTTTAAAAAATACAGCAGTTCAAAATGTAAACAAACCGTTTGTTTACATTACGGACTTGACTTCCCCTTTAAGGATTGGATGCAATTTTTCAAATCCGACTATGAGCTCAGGACTAGACTAGATTTCAATTCCGCACAATTTGATCAAGTACGAAGCGGAGTAAATCACTACATCTCATACAAATAAAACACTACTTAAAGTGATGTGAATTAATTTTGATCCAGTCCAAGGAATGAATTAATTTTGATCCAGTTTTTGTTGCATGCCATATATGGCATGCAACTTTCATATAGCTCTAAATTTCGTGTCGTGGTCGGTGAGTGAGCGGTGAGCGTACCAGTCACGTGGCAGGTTCGTAAAATACGACAAATACCGAGTTTTTCCGATGAGCATTTTCGTACCGGGTTTTCGTCGAGGAAACGCAAAGAAATATCGATTATTCGCCGAAAATTTACATAATTGAGCGCCTTAGAAAAGTAAATCGAGGTAGGTAAAGCTTTGTTGTTTTTAACTTGCCGTATATTCTGTTATTTGTTGTGATTTTGGAGCCGTTGTGCTCGCACTGATTATTTATCAATTATCAGAGCCATACGCTCAAAGCCCACGCTATCAAAATACTCGATTTTTACATACTCAAACTGAAAGGAGCCATTGTGCTCGCACTGACTATATTCTGTGCAAAGCTTTAAAACTACAGCACATTTTGAAATATAAATATCAAACAAAATTTGAATTAAAAGAGTAATACTATTGAAATTTTATACAACGAAATAGCAACCATTGTGAAGTACGCATAAGATTCAACACGACATTCAACATGACATTCGATATACCGTAAACCTCCAACTATAAGCCCTGGGCTTATATACTTTCGTAAGCGATTTCTGTTGGGC